TCTACCCAATATATGTAATATATAATAAGTTAATGTACTTTTGCGATGTTTGCTGGAATAGTTCGCTGCGACTTTCCCTTGCCCATTCATGTGCAAGCAGCTGAAGAAACCGCGCGCTGCTCAAAAACTTTTGCTATATTTTGCACAGCTTTTTTCACACATAAACTAAAAGTTTTTTTTTTTTTAGTTTTTAATTTAGTAAAGTAATTCACAAGTTGTTGGCCAATCGCTGTTTGAAATTCTTGTTGAGGTGTTTTACCCTCTTTCGAGCAATATAGCGTTAAATGGCGTATCGCGTGCCCTTTAGCCAGTATGTGTGTGTGTGTGTGTGTGTGTGTGTGTGTGTGTGTGTATGTGTGTGGAACCTTGCAAGTAATTTACTTGGTGTCTGAAGGATTTGTAACTGCCAATGAATGCGTGTTAAAGAAACCGCCAACTGGGTCAACTAGCACAAAAACTAACTTCATCAACTGCAAATGCAGCATAATGCACTCTCTAAGGGCATATGGATGTGTGTGTGTGTTTGATATTGGTATGAGTGCGTGCTGCCTTGGCATCACACCGCAACGTGTGCTTAACCATCAAATGAAAATCAAATCTACTCAAAATGTCAAAAAACTTTCCAAGCTAAATGCAGTTTATGAAAATGCACACGAACTGACGAAAATGCCATGAGAATCGCATATAGGGGATTGATTTGCTGTACACATTACCGTGAACGGTCGATGAACGTACAGCAGGCGTGACTGGAAATTCAATAGGTTCCAAATTGTTAATACAATAAATAAAGGCAGCAGAATCTATGGAGTATAGACAAAAGCTGAATAAAATTCATGAATTTTGTAAGAAACAACAGACTAAAACATTATGTTCATTGACGAAAGCTTTTACTGTATGCATGTGCATGTGCATGTGTCGGCATGTTCGTGTGTGTGGGTATGTGTGCATGTGTGGGCGTCTATGTGTGTGTTTACAAAACTGCAATAATGCGCGGCGTCCTTCTACACTTTCAGCGCGTCCAGCTCTGCCCCCACTGACAGCAGCCACTGAGCGTGAGATGCATGTGCATGGGTGTGTGTGTGTGGGTATATATGTATATATGAGTACAAGGTGTAGGTGTGAGTGTGTTTAAGTATATATAGAGTGGCTGTGCCACAGCATAAAGTAGAAAGTGGTGCATTTTGTGCTGCTTGGCAGCTCGTTGTTCCATGCATGTAATTTCATTAGGGCAGTAGGACAAGCTCTCACATACGTATATACATAAATATATGCATATATACATATACATATAAACACATGCATATGCATATGAAGAGCGTAAGCTTTATGTGAGAGCGTATAGAAACTGCATTTGGACACACACCCACTCACCCACACACGTACACAACAGAATAGAGAGCCGGCTGCTGGTATTCAATACTCAGCTGTTAAAACAAAAAATACTCAAAATAAACGAAATGCCGAAAAAAAATTATATATATGTGTGTACATATATAAAAGCTTTAACTATTCGCTTTGCGTCTTAAGCTATGCTCCGCGTGTATTATGTAATTGTAGGACACACACACACAGACTCACATGTATATTTATGTATGAGCGCCTCAAACACATACACCGACAGCCAGCAGCACGCCAGTCAAAGGCATAAAGACCACACACACACACACAGACTGACACAAAGACACAGACACAGCGCAAGAGAGACACTTCATTTCTTGGCATTTTCTTTTGCTTGGACTATGCTAACACACACACACACACACACACAACTATATATAATATACATACAAACAAACATACTTATGCATGAGCATGTATTTTGCCTGCTGCTGCTGCTGCTGACGCTGCTGCTACGTTTTTATTATTATCGCTGTCACACACACTCACCACACTCACACACAGGCAGCGCAAGAGAGCGCACAGCAGCCAGCACAAACTCACACACACATACACATTCAGAGACACACACACACAGCGCTAGCATGTCGCCGCCTTTGTCGTACACGCTGGCGTCTTCAGCTGACGCTGCCGCTGCCGCAGCCGCTGCTGCTACGATTTTGTCGCCATCTTCGCTGCCTTCGCCGTCGCCTGTTTTACCATTTTTCTTTTACGCCTGTGTCTGCGTCAGTATGTGTTTGTGTGTGTGTGTGTGTTCGTGTTTGTGCCTATGCGTCTATGTATGTGTGTTACGTTCGGTGTTTATTTTTCGTCATTTCGAATGTGACTGCGAGTGTCATTTTGGTTATTTTCTTCTTTTCTTTTCTGCTTTCAACTTCGCCCGCTCTCAGCTTCGCCGCATTGTTATGCCCTGGGCTTGGCGACTAAGCGAGTATATAGGTTTTGCATAACTGTTTGTTTGTTTGTTTTTAAAGACTTTTTATGCGCTCTAAAGTTGCTCTATATATTCTTAATCTCTCGCTTTCTCTCACTCTCTCGCTCTCTCTTTCTGGCTGCTGACGTAGAGGGCATTGTTCAGTCGTTGACACTTCTCTTTTTGTTTGTGTCATTGGCATTAATTAAACACATTTATGGATTGGCTTAGCCACAGGCAGGAGCAGCACCATCAGCAGCTAGTCCACCCGTCCGCCCGTCCGCCCGTCCGTCAGTCGGTCAGTCGGTCACAATTTCAGCCATTCAATTATCGATTATGACATTCATTCACAGCTTTTGGCTGGGACAAAAATAGCAAGGCGAATCTTCTCTCTCTCTGGCTAGCGAGCCGCATCCCTTTGGCCAGCGTCCACGTTTTTGCCATCAAAGTGACAAAACGAGCAGCGGGCGAGCAAGCGAGCGAGCCGACAAACAAACAAACAAACAAACAACAAGACTGCCAGGCACTGGCTGGGCTCTGGCGGGGGTAAACATTAACTCTGCTGCCTGTGGCTGGGCAAACGGGGCGTATGTGTAACATTCGAGTGGGTGGTGTCAGTTGTCAGTCACCAGAATCGCTCAATTGACTCTTCGTATGCATGTGTGTGTGTGCGTGTGTTTGTGTGTCTATGTGTGTGTGTGTACTAAAAATCTCTGCTACTGCAAACACTTTAAGAATTAGCCTATGGCTATATGAAACAATTCGCACACAATTTAGCAAGCTTTATCGCATATAGAATAGCTGCAGCTTAACTAATTTGTGCTATCGATAATAATGGAAATAATTTCTTGCTATCGATTTTGCTCTACATTTATATCTCTATATCTCTGGCATATATGTATAGGAAAATATGGTGCTTAGCAAATCTATTAAATCTCTATTAACCTTTGCCAAATCACATTGTTTCAGCTATAATTTTAGTCAAATTTTTTGCCACATATAGCTTTGCTTTATGATAAGTTTATAAAATGATATAAACAAGACCTATAAAAAGTTAGTTCCGTATACCAACATATTTAGATAAACACTTAAATTATTATAATATAACTTCTTGTCAATTTTTGTTGCTTAAAGTATTTAAAATATAATTAAAATTTTAAAAGAATGTATAAATTTTATCGATAGATTTAACTCCAGGAATTTAAATAGATGCATGAATAATCATTGAGAGTATTCAGCTATAAAAGTACTTCGATTAATATTTAGGCCTTAATATTTTACTCTACATCTCTCATGAAACAACAACTAACAACGGTAAACAACTTATCGATAACACATTTATTTTCGAGCATTGATTTCTGCACTCCCACTGTAGTCCACAGAGCAGTTGAATAACCTCAACACATAAAGAGACCCCAAAAAAAAAGAAGATAAATAGAGAATTAAATACGCAAATCGATAACTCAAAACTAGCTTGAGATGCGCAGAGAAGGGCGCCAGCACGTACTTCACTTTCTACCTAGCGCCCCAAGTTAAGGTAATCCCCACCAATTGACCGCAGCAAATTGGAATTCACCGATGCAACGAAGAAATCAAAATGCGAAAACCCAATCAAATACATGGCAATAATTGTATTCTGGTCGACCAAATGCTGGGCTGCCCCTCCACTCCTTGCTCCTTGCTCATTGCTCCTTGCTCCTTGCTCCACACTCCTGCTCGCTCTTATTGTGTGGCCAAGGGCAATGAAGGGAAAAAAAATAACAAGGCGCAGACAAGAGGCGACTACACTAACAACAACAACAACAACAATGAGAGCATAAGAAGAGATGAAGAGGCAGCAGCAGTAGCAGCCGCAGCATTCACTTTCACATCCTTGAAGGCGGCAATAGCAGTGCCAAAGGCCTAACCCGAGGGTGGCACACACACACAAACACACACACACACACGAAACGATTGAGTAATTTTGTGTGCTAGTGTGTGTGTATGTGCCTCTTCTGCTTCTTCTCAGGCCACACACAACTTCATTAGCAGCGAGAATAGGTTTTGGATTTAGGATTTTTATTCTATTTTCTTTTCAGGGTTTTGTTTTTTTTTTTTTTTTTTTTTTTTTTTGTGACAATTTCTGTGCTGCTTTGTTACATAAATACACAATTGCAAACACATCAAAAAAAATATACATAAGAAAAAGAAACTTTAAAGCGCAGCGAAAATGAACTGCTGCTTCTGCCGCTGCTGTTGTTGTTGTCATTGCTGTTGTTGTAGTTCCTTGTTGGCTTTGCTTTTGCGTAATTTGTCAACTAATTGGCACACGCAAACAAACATGAAAAGCGTAAAAGATTTGCTTTGACTTGCGGTATTACATGAGAGTGTGTACATATATATATATATATGTGTGTGTGTGTGATGTGTCTTCGCCTGTCTCATACAAATTGGATTAACGGTCCAACAGAAAGGCAGCTGGAGAAAGCACGTTAACAGTCAGTCAACCTCCCCCCCTGAGACCCGCACTCTACCATCTCCCTTCCCCACATGCACACATGGCAAAAGGAAAGCTTTGCATAATTCGTGCAATTACAGTTATGTCTTGCACACCATACACACACAGGCAACTAGAGTTAGCAAACAAATATTTAGCAAACATTTTGTGTTTTTATATATTTTCTATAAAATGGTCACACTTTACACGCACATTTTACAGCAATTCATCTTCTGCTGCTGCTGCTGCTGCTGCTGCTGCTTCTCCTTCTTGAGTTGGGATCCTCACTTGCTCACTCTCTCGCTCGCTCTATCGGCCGCTATCTTCTGGCTGGTTTACGCTCCGATTTGTTAAGAACTGCTCACTCGCGAAACAGCAACAAAAACAAAAACAAAAAACTCACACTCTCACACAAACACACATACACTTACAATCTAACGGCGAACTTTATGCACAGATGATGGCAATAGATTTGAATTCGAAAAATACACAAGTGTCAATAATTTCATTTGTTATTACGAATATATTTACAGGAGCGGGTTAGAGCATTCGAGTTCTCGGGTTTAGATTCGCACACTTTGTAGGTTATTTCTTTCTTGTTTCGCTGTTGATGTTGTTGTTATTGTTGCCAAAAAAAAGCAAAAAAAAAAAAAAAAAGAAGTAGTTGGACTTTTGCTTTCTTCAGCTACAGCGGCGACAACTGCTGCGGCTGCTGCGGCTCTGCTGCTGTTTTCAACTTTAAACAAACTACTCAAAAAAACAATTGGAGAGCGCACGAAACAGCTCCGCACCACATGACCGCACTACACGATTGACAGTTTGGCACTAAACGTGAGCTTCGCGAGCTTATCAGCCAGTCGGGGCCGAAGTGAACGAACCGAGCAATTCGCATTGCCGAAAGGAGAGCCAACCGAACTGAACGATGCTCGCTGTGGCTGAATGTGTGTGTGTGAGTGAGTGTGCGAATGTGGGATGTACAGTATGAGAATGAGCCGTGTGTGTGAGTGTTTGAGTGTGTGACAGACAGAAGATGTGCGCGACTGTTACAAAAGTTGTAGCCAAAACGCCCAAGCAGCGGGCACTTTATACATGTTACCCATGTTCATTGAAGAAAGCGCAAACAGCACCGACAACCCATTGGGAAATAACGCGCATGTGTTAATGGGTTTGTGTCCTGAATAACTAAGGAGAGCAGACACCCAGAGACGAGGATGAGGATAGAGCGAGAGCGCGCTGAAGAGAATGCAAGAGCAGTTAAGCACTGCACACTACATAAAAGCTCTCTCTCTCTCTCTCTCTTTATCTTACCCAACTAAAATGAACTTAAATACTGCATGGTTACAAAGTGATCAGTGGGAGCAAAAAGCTTTTTTATGTCTATGCTGTAATTGCCTTCAGTTCCTACTATTTATCATTAAGATTGATCTTTTTAATGTCATTAATGATCGAAAAATGATTATTTGACTCATAATTGGCAATGCAATTTGAGAAGATTTTTAGAATTTCAATTGCTATAAAATAAATATTTGTGATTACAGTAGATATAACAAAAAATTACTACAATAGGAAAGTAGTAGTAGGAAAATAAAGTTTGAATTTAAATTATAATATAATATTTATATTTAATTTATATTTATAGATTTTTTTCTCAACTTTTAGAAAAGAATATACGGACCTCCAAAATTGTTTATTCAATGTAATGTGAATAAATAAAAATATTCATAATAATAAAAAAAATGTTCAAAAAATATCCCTATCCAAGTATTTTGCTTCCAATCATGCACTCTATTAATAATACATGTAATATAAATTATTTGCACAATTACTTTAATAGCTACCATTTCATGTTCTTCATATATTTCAATTAAATTATATTCATATTTATACATATATGCTAAGCACGGTTAATTTTGGCTTAATATTTAATGACTATATTCCTGGCAGATTAAACTTATATTAAACAAACACGACGCCAAAGTTTGTCTGCAGCATAAACTCTCGAGAAATCGGCAAATACAAAAATTAAATATTGTTTGCACGCTGCGGGCGCTGCGCATTTCCCACTGGGGCGAAAAGCGCTAAAAGCAACAACAACAACAACAGCAGCACCAGCAGCAGCAGCAGCGACGACGATGGCGGCAGCAGCCAGTGGCCCAAAGGAAACGCCAAGTGCCATGTGCGCCGCTTAAATCTGAAGCTCAATCTGACTGCGGGTGTAATGTTTTTGTATGAGTGTGTCTATATACATATATCCACACAGACTTACGTATGTGTGCGTGTGTGTCTGTGTGTGTGCGATGATGGCGGCGCAGTGCCGAACTTTGTGCGGCCTTGCGGCCATGCTGTCTGTCTATCGCTCTCGCTCGCTCTCTTTCTCTCTCTGGGTCACCGTCGCATTGTTTGAATGTATGCGTGTGTGTGTGTGTGGATGTGTGCCTGTGAGCTTTGGAAAGCTGCGAGAAGAGCAAACGGCAACACAAACACAACAGCAAAATACACAAACTTAAAAAAAAAATAAAAAAACAGAAATGTAAAAGTAACAGAAAAAGAAAAACAGAAACCGAAACGCCACAAACGGCAAACGTGATGCGCGCATGTGTTTTATCTTCAATCTCAGCTGAAATCATCTGGCGGCCGCTGACGAAATGAAGGCACCCACCCGCCGCGTAGCAGCGCATACCTCAACACTCCTCACCACACCACAGGGACACCACACCACACCACGCTCAACTCACCTCACCTGCCTTGGCATTATGAAGGGCATTAGGTTGTGCGTTCGTATGTGGGTTCGTGCACGTTCGGCTCGCCGCCGCCGCTGTTCGGCTCAGCATAGTCGGCGCCTCGTTCGCATTCAGTGAAAGTTAATGAACGAGATAGAGAGAAAGAGAGAGAGAGAGAAAGAGGAACACAGCCAGAGCGAGTGCGAGAGAGGCAGAAAAAGAGTGGGTGAAAGAGTGCGCTGGGAAGAGAGACGCCTTTCTGCGCTTTGTAATGGCAAGAAATTTGTACTTCCGCCCGGCGAGGACGGCCGTAGAAGATTTTAATTAAAAGCAGCAGCAGGAAATGTGACCCAAATAATACTTCCGTATAGTGTGAAAAATTGCCCAGACTTGGCGCTTTGGCACAACAGTATCATCCCCGCATCCCTACCCTCGCCCCTCTCCCCACACACTCCCTCAGCGTTAGAGCTTTGCTCATTTGCTGCCCAATTTGATGCGCAGCGAGCTGTCCGGGAAGAGGCCATTAAAGCATTGCATCGCACTTGACTTCCGGCTAGACAGAGGCCAGCCGGAAGGACATGCCAACTATTTAATTAATTCATATCCATTTCTGTGCAACGTTCTCGTTTGACTGGCACGTCCTGCAATAACTCAGCTCAAGAATGGATAGCCATATACATATATAGATGATAAGCCCATGTCTACTTTTGCCAAATCAGCCCATTCACAGATGCCTACCTAACCCATCTCCCACTCTCTCCATCTCTTTCGCTCTCGGTCTCAGTCGCGCCCCATCTCTTTCCCTGTCTGTGTCACTTGCACCTCTCGCTGCGCACCTTTGGCGAAGTTCCTTGTACGACCACCTGTTGCGGCTAGCCAACTACCCCCAGCCTCTAGCCCGTAGCCTCCTAGCCATATGTCCGCCCACTATCCGTAAGTACGGAACAACTTACGCAAATCGAGTGCGTATTGCCATATTTTAAAGCTCTCTTCTACGTTGCATAAATGCAGAGTGCATACGCTGTTAAATCTTAAAATGGAATTTAAATTTGAATTTGAGCTAGGGGTTGATTAAACTCCAAACCTAATTAAAGTATATGTCTTAGGCTTAGATATGCATACATCTTACTCGTTAAGCTGACTTGACCTGGACCTGGAGACTCTGAGGGAACTGTGTTAGGCTTAGACTTGCCTGAAGTCATAGAGTTTGGTAAGTTTTAGACTTGTATTAAATAAAAGTATTCCACATTTAGAGAGCTACCCTCGTCTTAGACTTGCATTAGACGTAAGCATGAAACTCTGAGGGGCTTGTTGTAGACTGAGATTATGCTGAAGTCATGGAATTCGAGATTTTGAGTGCTATGTCGTTAGTAAGTGTTAGAGAGCTAAGTTAGGTAGGTCTAAGACCTATTTGTTGCTTTAGACTTGTATTAGGCTTTGACAGAGTTGTCTTAGTCTTATTTAAAGCTGTCTTTAGTTTTTGAGCTTGACTACATAAACCTAAAGGACCTTATTTGCTTACAGCCAAAATGTAGCCGAATCCTTAGAGAATTTGGCGTTAGACACAAGTTTAAGGAATAAGATATTTTGGCCGATTATTTTATCCTTAGATCCTTAAAAGAATTAAAGAGAGTATAGGGTAGAGACTTCTCTCATGCTACAGTTCATGCGATAAAGACTTCCTTAAGGTACTTTACCAGCTGTACCAAACAAAGATGTATAATTCTTGTAATTGTAAATTCCTGACGGAAAGAAATAACTCTAAAAGGTGAGCTTTAAGGGATACACTAATTTACGTATTAAATTTTGTATAATCTTGAAAATCTATTCCATAACAAATTCCCTCCAGATTATAACGTTAAAGAGTGAAACAAATCTATCTAAAACCGAGCAAGGACACACAAAAAGTATTCGACATGAAACAGAAGAGATCGATTGGATCGACTCGGCGCGTTGTCCTGAATGTCAGATTTGAGTAATGAAAGTTTGATGAAGAGCGTAAGTTGATGAGGGAATGTTAACCCAAAAATAATTATTCCGATTGGATTCGGTTAGGTTGAGTTTGGTTAATAATAAATGAGAGCCGAGTTGTTGTTTTCTTTTTTTTTCGGTTGGGGCCGTGACAATTTTTTTTTAGCTGAGCTCCGTCTTGGCCCAGGTCAGCGCGGCTATTCTTGGCATTTACCTTTTTTTTCTGATGGGGTTGGACACGAAATCGATATGGAGGACATGGCTCACGGCTGGCCAGTGCGGTGATTAAAGTCCTGCACCAGGTCCTTGTCCTTGTCTTTCTGTCCCTTTGACTGCGTGGCGCATGCAATCAATACCAAATCATCATCGGCAATTAGCGACAATCGATGTGCCCATCTACCACCTGTGTGTGTGTATGGGTGTGGGTGCATGTGTGTGTGGGTGGGTGGGTGGTTGGGTGGTTGGTTGTTTGAGTGCGTGGTTTTCTATTTGCTCAACACTTATTCAGCAGATGAATATTTGACTGCATCAGTCGCCCCAATGGCTGCTGGCTTCAAACCACAATCTGCTTCACAGCGCGCAACGTGGCGTATGCGCAACATTTGCAGCAGCTGCAGCTCATGCCAATCGCTGGTATCTAAGAGATTTAGCTGTCAGCAGCTGCAGAGATAGAAATGCATATACAAGCACACACACACACACACACACACACACAGAGACACAGCTGCTTAACGTTTTATGACAGCTCTTTACAAAAAAAAAAAAAAAAAAAAAACAAATAGAAGAACATTGCAGTCGGACTTTATCGACCGCCGAATACTCATTCACAGGCCAGCTTCTGATTTTTTAGATCCAACTTGTGACTTGCCACGGTAGCCGCTATAAGGATATAAATTTGCTTAAGTAAGTTTATCTGGGTACCAGACTTTTCGTACCAATAACCGTATGAATGCTATAGGCAGAGTCGTTATAAACGGATTCTGCTGTATATATTATTTTCAATCAATCAATAGAGGATACCAAGCGTAATTTTGTCGTTTGAGTTTGTAGCTCTAAAGCTGTATCAGAATACAGTTCTAGCCGATTTGTCACGCTCCCTACGAGCACAGATACATACATACATCCCCTTTTCATTTTTGTATTGTCAACGCGAATATATATTCCAAATTTTAACTCCTTAGCACTTCAAATTATAGGATTTCTAGCAACCTGAAAAGGCATTTACCGTTTTGCCACGCCCTTTGTGGACGGATCGGAAATATCTTGACCCCGTATAGTACCAAAATCTCAAACGAACATTGCACAAAACCAATATACTCAATTCACTTTCATGAATGAGTATAAGAAGTAGAAGAAAAAGTACTGTAAATGGGGTTAGACGCCAAGGCAGACTGGAAGATTAAGCCTTGTGGAGGGGCAGGGAATGCGTAGTCAGTGGGTAGGACGGGTGACTGTGACACGTTGAGGGTGTGTGTAGCCAAATCATTTGCCGTTGATTTAATTTCGCATTCGCACACAAAATGAAATTTACATTTCATATGAGGAAACGTCTTTAGCGTACGTACGTTCAACTTCTGAATATGCCAATCTATGTACCGGCAACCCGAACCCCCATTCCCCGCCCTCCCCGCCATCCACGTCGAGCCGTACGTGACGCTAGTGCGACTCTATGTCAACTAGCATTTACATTTCAATCCCAACGCATCCAACTTTATGCCAGAGACAATTTTTTACAACTGATAAGCCTCATTACCCCGCAGTCGAGAAAATAATGAGAAAGCCTCACAGAAGCTACACATATGCATATGTTTATATATGGACATTATTGCCTCAATTTTGTTTGGTCTGAGTCAGAGGAATATCCGGAATGCTGCCAGCCCCTTCGGCTATCTTATTATGGTTATGATTCCTGAGAAAGCAGGAAATTACAAAAAAAAAATGTGAGAGGCATAGAAAAAGTGAAACGTGTTGAGGCTGTGGAAACTGTGGAACACTATTGGAAGTGTAAAAGGTATAGAAACATCTGTAAGCTATAAAGTGTAGGAAAATAAGGCAGAGAGAGTGCTTAAGGTATGAAAATTGTTGAAGCTTTGAAAAAAAAAAATGGAAAATGTGTAAAGTATTAAAATAAATATATAATTAGTACAAAAATAAAAGAGACTTTTGCAATACAATTCTTATATTGGTGGCGCTTGCTATGGCTCCCTATGAGCTCTACCTTTTCGGAAAATTGACTAGGCATGAACGGAAAACGTTTTCGTCTGTCGAGGTCATCCGAAAGGTTTGTACCGACATTCCGAAGTACAGTCCGGTCAATGATCCGAGATCCTTTAACGAAAAACATTAAGATCGCGCAAAATAGTATATCGAGGCTGAAAGTAGTATTTTGAATAAATCAACCTTAGTTTAGGAATACAAAGCGCCTGTCGTTTCTATTTAAGCTCAGCCTGGTTTATTTTGGAGCGCACCTTTTACCATACATATCTATAAATATGTATATTATTATTATTAAAGCACTTCCTTCATTCCCAGGCGTGTAGAAATTGCATTATTTATCATATTGTTAACCAATAATCAAGATATTCATCGAATATTTTAAGTCTGTTAGTTATAGAAAAAAAGAGGTTATATAGGCTCCACTTTCTCTGCAAATGAAACGTGAGAAGATTACAGGGTATAAATTCTAAAGTCTGTTTAATTTATACTCAGCTTCCAAGACAACTCTGGTAATTAATAAAATAGTGATATATTGTAATATATATAATAGATAAATACATAGATATAATGTAATATATTATAATAAACTCTATTATAGGGTATACATTACAGGCAAGTAAATGTAAGAGCCCCTCACATATCCAGCAAAAATAGAGATTTATCAGTAGACATTGAAAAAATCTACAAATTCCAGACAACTTTTAAAAATTAAAATTGAGAAGAATTGAGAAAAGCAAATAGCTTAAGAACTAAGATATCCCCGATATCCTCCCAAAGAATGAAAATAAAGTTGCATCTATAAATACTTATTGTTGTTTATTTGAATTAATTTATAGAGGGAAATCGACAAAGTGGGCTGCTTTAATAGAGAAGCAACTAAACAATGAATGGATAACAAAATGAAAGGAACACCACGATCGATACTCATTAATATATATAGATCTATGTATATATATATGTTGTATATGATGGAATATATTACTATATATACATATATATATATATACGTATATATATGTATACATATATATACATATATAATTATATTTAACAATTACAATTATAAAAAAATACACGACACGACATTAAATGTGGCTACGCAGACCTTAAGAGGGGTAGGGCGGAGTAGGCGTGATGAAACAACAGCAATGACAATAATCATGGTAATAATAATAATCATAATAATCATAATAATTAGTATAACTCATATGGGCGAGTTATCGCGCACAATGCTCAGCAGCAATGATAAAAGTTATATATGTATAAGTTTTGCCAGCTTTTGTTTTTTGTTTTAATACATTTAGATGTAGAGATGTACATATGTATTAATGTATGCATGTATGTGTGTATGGGTGTGTGTGTGTGTGTGTGTATTAAGATATATGCATATCGTAAATGTTTCGACTTAAAGAACTAAAAAACATCATATTATCAGCAGCATTTATCTTATCTGCATCATCATCATTAGCATTAGCATTAGCATTATCATTATCATTATCATTATCTTTATCGTTATCAATTTCATTTTACATACACATAGCTTTCGTGTTTTTTTTTCTTTTGCTTTGACTTTATGCTGGACAGGAATTGCAATAGTTGAACAATTTTCCCGTTTAATAAGAAATTGCATTAGGCATTTACTTAATATATTATTTTTCTTCTTTGTTTATAAATTCATAGCTTAGTAATTTCTTAGGACACTTTTGCGAAACACAATAGCCAGAAGAAGAAGCATCTCATTTGCCTACTTCTCAAGTATTATATAAAATATTATAAATATATATACATGTATATGTATATATATATATTATATATAGCAGATATATATATATGTGTGTGTGTGTGCTTAAATTGTTTAGGCCAGAATGTGTGTATGAAGGCAACGTGTGCCACATAGAAAAATGTTTGCATTTCTATCAGATTCCATAAATGTAAGTATATATATATATATATATATAAGTATATATATGTATATATTTATAGATTATTACAGTAGTTAATTGTAATAAGGACGACGGCATTTTAGGAATTGCATTATTAATATTGTTTATATTATTATTTTGTTATGCACAAAAGCAATTTGTTATTAATTATGCGCTTCAACGCGCGCTACAAGCCTTGCTATATCTATACATATATATATATATATATACATGTATTTGTGCATATGTATAATATATATGTGTACGTATGTATATATGCACATGCAGAAATATGTATATAGATCATATATAAAACATATGCATAAATAGAATATATATATACATACATATACATATATGCAAATACATGTACATAAACATATGCATATACATATATAGATACATCTGTGCATGTGTGCTAACTATAGCATATTGTTTTATAATTTAGTGCTGCTTCTTCTGCTGCTTCTGCTGCTCCTTGACTTAATCCAACTTGCCCTGGCCCTGGCTTTATGTTTTATGTTGCTTTGCTGTGCTTTTGGTTGTTGATTGGTAAATTGTTGTTGTTACTGATTACTGATTGGATTGGATTGAATTGGATTTGATTGTTTGATTGTGTTTAGTATCTGCTGTTGTTGAACTGTGAATTAACCGCCGAGCTAACGACCGATGAGGTCGCCTCCTGCACATGCTGATTGCGCAAAAACTCTGTGGTAAACTCGGCCTTGGCCTTGTCCATGCTGGCACCGGTGCTGCGATAGATGCTATGTATCTTCATGATCATCAGGACATTGGCGCCGGCGGTGATGGCGAAACAGAAGGCGATTATCAGCAGCAACAGGCCGACGACAATGCCCCAGGCACTGCTATCGAATTGTGAGATGGCCGTTATAAAGCCGCAGTAGCCCAAATCCTTAAAGCCAATGGCCTGGATGACTGTGTAGACCGTTTGAAAGAAATACACAAAGAAGAAGACCATAAAATTGAAGCTCGAATCGTTGCGGAATGCCTTATAAGCGGGCCGAAACCTTCAAAGCACCAAACAGACCGAGACAACACAAGCAGAGAGCGAAGGAGAGAGAGAGAGAGAGAGAAAGAGAGACAATATGGTTAGCGATTGAGACGGCGCGACATAGAGCTATATACATACCAGCACACATATGAGGCGGGCGTAAACAACAGCGTATAGAAGATGGCCAAAAACAGATTGGACAATAAGCCTGCGTGGAACAGCAAGATGAGACCTCCGAGAATATTGGCGACCAGCGTCATGGTGTAGACTGCAAAGAATTATCCAATTAATCAATAGTTGTCATTAAATTCTTGATGAACGACTATATAAAGGCCAAATAAGCTTGATGAAAGACAGAGACTTTGACTAACTGAGGGCATTACTGAAAAGAAACTATTGAAAGAAGAAGAGAAGAAAAAAGACTAAGACTTTGACTGACTAGCTCAAGACTGATTGTCTAATGGATTGACTAAGTAAGAGATCGACTGATACACAGACTGACTCAAGGACTGAGGAACTAGGCTGACTAATAAGTTGACTAAGTGAAAGACTAGCAAATGTTGATTTGTTTATCAAACTGATCAACAATTAATTAAAAGACTAAATCACTAACGAACTAATTGACAGATTGACTTGGTGAAAAACAGACGTTAGACAAACAGAAAACAGTTTTATTGATAAACAGACGAGCTAATCATGCAGATTAACTAAGTGAAAGACAAATGTTTAGAAGTAAATCTGATTGACTGGCAATTGATTGAAAGAAAAAATCATTTAGCTGATTAAATGTGCTCAATCGAATTGAAAGCCTGACTACTTAGTTGAATGGTTGGTTGACTAAGTGAAGGACAAACGAATAAACACAATGAATCAAATGCAAATCAAATGGATCGACAATTGATTCAAACACTAAAACACCTACGAACTAATCGACGGAAAATTCAGAGCACTGCTGATTGATTGACTCATTATAAGAATGAGTTACGGACTAATTGACTAAACGGCATGCAAACAGACTTTAAGAGTGATTGATTGACTAATTGGCTGACTGCGTGCAAGGGAGAATGAATCACATAAAGTGATTGACCAAATGGAATAAAAACTGATGCGCTAACTCAAAATATTGCCAAACTCATATATCTCTAAAAAACTGCTTAACTGGAATATAAATTGTTAAATTGACAAAATGAGAGGCAGACAAACATATCAAATATTCAGCCAACAATCTAGACTTTCAATTCATCAATAGGAATTGCTTATCTTCTACATAATTGCAAGCATATAATCTAAAAATATATATACTATATACATTCGAATCGTATAGATCACAGCTGAGAAATCCTTTAAATATAAATAGATAAGCTTGTTTGCCTAATGATAAGCTCAAAGCCAACGACATCATCTATGTACATATAGAACTATATAGTTGCTATTTTAAGGCTCTTTGTTTGGCAGTCATACGGATGCCTGTCGGCATTTGCGAAATGGACTAATAATCGACGTTTATTAGCTTATGGCATGAGTAATGCGATTCGACTCTTATCAGCCTTGGGGCGTCTCAATTGAAAACAATAAACTGCGGCGATAATAAACGAAATGCTTACAAATCCAGATGTAGTACAAATGCTTGACCAGCTTTTGAAATTCGGGCGGTATTTCCACCTCAATGTCCTGATAGAAGCACGCCTTCACGCAAAAGTTATCCGGCAGGGGAGGCCAATTATTCAGCTGTGGGACGTTGCCCTGCAGCTGCTGTTCACGGCGATCTAGTTCGGCAGCCTTGCGATCGAGTTCCTCCTGGCGGCGCTGTAAATTGAGAAGACAATCAGCTATCTGTAATGCGGTCTATCTACATGTGTGTGACTGTGTGTGTGTGGATGTCTATTGAATGAAAAACAAACAAATAAACACACACATACAAACAGAGATAGCTGAGCACAACTGCAGCCACAGCAATGCAGCGACAATAACAATTGTTGTAATGCGAGTCGCCTGGTAACTGGAGCACACAACTGGCTAGAATTCATTATCATTTAACCTGCAGCTCCTCGGATGTGATTTGTATGCTGGTGCTGGGTGTTGTGCCGCTGGCCAGACGCGGCTGCGGTGCCGGAATGTTCTGTGAGAGGGGCTGCACAACGGCCGCCGTATTGGTGGAGTTGATTTGCAGCTGGGGCTTCGCCTGCTCCTCGAACGGATTGTAGTCCTCCAGTGAGACATTGGTGGACATGCGTGTTGCCTGCTGTATGGCGGGATCCTAAAATCAATCAAATGCAAAAAAAAAAAAATAAATATGTAAATCAAGTAACGTAAAACATACACATCAAAGCAACTGCTGAGCACAGCGTAGGCGGAACACAGTCACATAAACACACACACACACACACACACACACAACCACACATAGACATTGGCCTATGAGCTGTCGTCGTTGCACCTACACACACGTATACAAATATGTGTGCCTGTGTGTGTGTGTGGTTTTCGTGCACAGCATTTTTGTTGTCAGGCTTACCGCAAATGGGTTATCCAGATTGGGCTCGCCAAATGGATTTTCATCAAAACCGTTGCCGGACATTTTGTCGTTCTGTTTGCTGCTAGTGCTGTTCCTTTTTGTTGGTGTGCTAAATTTTGGGCAAACGGTTTTTGCGACTTTTTCGCCTGGTCTATCGGTTTCCTTCCTTTTTTTTTTACTTTTGAGTGACGATTTTACGGAATTCGATGTGACCAGTTGCGCGATGTTTCGTGTATGAGCAGTAATGGCTAATAGTGTGTGACCGCGTGCGGCAAGTGGTTGAGTAGGCATGCAGTATTAAATATACTAAAAAGAGTCACGCTATCGATTAATTTCATATCGATATACTACACGAATTAGCCAACACAGAATTCTGGTTTCTGACGTCACATCTTTGGCTGACAGACTTAACAATTATCGATATATACAGTAATCAGAAAAACAAATTCAAATATCATTTAACGTAAGAAACTTTTATTTATTAAAAGTACAGCTTAACACATGCGCAAGCATTTAATGTACTTGGAAGACAAATTAACGCTTAGCAGCGCATTTGTAAAGTTATACTCATTACATTCATATACATATACAAAAAAGTTGATGCTTACACAATATTATTATCATTATTATTGTAATTATTACACATAATTATAAGCTACATGTACGTTACATGCTACAATAAATTAAATCTTTATTGTTCTGTCTTTATAGATTTGCTGTAAGTACTTTTCTTCTCATTACATTTTCCATTATTATTTTGTTTCACTTAATTTTTGCTCCGTTTTCGTTCTTTGCGAAATCTACGCACCAAATACTTTCGACGCATATTGACTGAAGACCCACGAATTCTATACAAAATAGATAGAAGCTACACACTAGATTTATGTAAATAATATTTAAAAAAAAAAGATTGTAAATATGTTTATTTGAAGTGCATTACACACATACATATATATGTACATATATGCGCATGTGGAGACAATGGAGACTGACAAATTCGAAGTAAAATTTCTATAGCTCTGTCTCTTTCTCTTCCCAAAACGTTTCAAATGTTTGATTTAAGTTTTTAAGCTTTTGTTGTTTGCATTTTGTAATTTGTTGTTGGTTGTTGTTTGCTTGTTTTGTTTACTGCTTTCATTCGCATATTCGTTGTGAATTTCGTTAGCCAAGTTAATAATTATAGGGTCCGTATTGGGAGCCATGATAGTAGGGACCCGGATAGATCTGCGGCTGGGCGTAGTTAGCGTAGGGCGGATAGGGTGGCTGCTTCTGCGAGTAAACTGAAATGGAAACGGAAATGGAAACAGTTTAGAGTGGGCACTTTCACCTTTGCTTCGCTTGCGTCACTCACCTGGCATCAGGTACTGCAGATTGAGCTGCTCCTCCTTCTCGCGCTCGTTGCGCAGACATATGGCAGCGCCCGATAGCAGGATGGCAGCCAGCAGACAGGTGGCAATGCCTGTCCAGGCCACAATGTAGGACCAATCGTAGACAATCTTCGTGTTATCGCGCAGCACCTGCAGTCCATAATAAATGTTGCCATGAAAAACCATCCAAATAGTTCAGGCGTTGCTCTGTGCACTCACCGTATTCCATTGCTGGTAGTAATCCTCTCCAACGACTTTCTCCTTCTCAAAGAACTCGACCGTGTGCCAAATACCCATGGCGCCAGCGGCCAGCAAACAGGTGACCAGCAACAGGATCGATGTGGCGGTTATGGCGCCCGACGAACGCTTCCAGCAGCCGGACAGGCCCGTCCAGAAGGCACAGAAGATGGTCACAAAGCTAATGATGAAGAGCGCAATGCAGGAGCGGGCCAAATGCAACCGGGACGTGGCATCCTCATTCGATATCTTATCATCCTCTACTTGCGGGAAGTAATCAATGTTCGAGCAGTGCGTCTCAATGGGGGACAGATAAGTGGGCACTAAACGGAATGAAATGGAAATGCAACTCAGTTTAGCATTTATTTCTAGCTTAAGCTGTTGTTATTTATGGATCTTACCTGCCGTTACCGGCGGACGCTCCTTGGGATAACATATTCTGAACAGGCCACGAGTTCTCGTATAATAATAATATTTCACATTCAAGTTATGCAGCAGCGACTCCGCATCCGAATGCTTGGCGGCAAAGGCCTGAAAAGAAGAAGGAATCTCAATTAATAACAAGTTAAGGAAGGATCTTGTTGAGTGAGTGTTTATAAAGGAATGTTGAGCTATAGATTATAAATTATTATTATGCATATATATTAAATATATGAACTATTATATGCACACATTATATTATATATATTATATTATGTATATGTATTCCTTTATGAAACACCATCATCATCTAATCTTATTGGTAATTGTCATTTGAAATTTCCGATTGATATTGTATTTATTTATTTATAGTTTATTTAAAGATAGCAATGACAGATAGATAGAAACATGTTAGATGGATTGATAGATAGACAGATGGGTGAATTTATATATAGAGAGATGAATAATTCGTTAAATAAATAGATGGATAGATAGTGTAGATAGATATATCCATAAATAGAAAATATAAATAGATGTATAGAGAGACCACAGATAGTTGGATAGATGGACGAGCAGACAGATGAATAGAAAACATCGATAGATAGACAGCAAGGTAGATGAATATGTAGATGAATATAAAAAAAAATAGATAGATAAATAGACAGATAGATGGACAACTTAATAGATAGATCGATAGGTAGATAGCAAGATAGATGGATAAAATGATATAGAGATCGATAGATTGACAGATTATAGATAGATGAATCGATAGACAGATGGACAAATAGATGGATACATATATTGATAGACAGCTTAACAAATATATCGATAGATAGATAGATCGAAGGACATATAAATAGAAAAATAGATAGATAGTTATATCTATCCACGAGAATACAATACAAAATAATAGCAATGTAGGTGTATATGTGGAAATACGAGTGTACAATGTAAGAAGAACAAGAAGTATAACAATCTTAGTATAAGCTTTCACAAAACTCTAAATACTTGGATCCAGGTAAACAAGTTTTCAATTAAACGATAACTGTACTCAAACCCTAGGAATCGATAATTAATCGTAAGCCCCAAATTTCTATTTACTTCTCATAAGATTCTATAGTTTAACAAATCATAGCAAGTCGAAAAATATTCCAAGCATTAGCACATCTACTGGAATGCAGACCGGCAGTATAAACCTTATTTGAAGAGCCTTGAATCTACAATGATCCAAACAATTGATCAACGCTTCCCCATCAAATAAAGCGTCGAGCAACAACAAATCAAAATAACAAGACAAAGGCTTTAAAATGCAAATCCAAGCCAGAAATGTTGGAGCGAGTCTACGCACAGCCGCTCCGAGAACCAGTTCCAGTGTGGGCGTTCTGAACAAAGCGAGGAACACGAGTTACAAATCAAAATGATTCCGCTTATGATTTTTGTAGCTCAATCTGAAGTCAGTTTTGATTGCTGCCATTGCTCGATCATCATCCGGTCATCTTTCGCTTCGTATTGAAATAAGACGCGGATGTACATAAATATAGCTACATGTCTAAATGTACCTATGCTCGCTCGTTTGTACATATATTGAGATCTGACAATGGGCGTTCAGCGAGCTGCGTGTTTTGTATTTGTCTTTCCATACATACGTATTTATCAGATCAAGTGCCGTTGCTATTGCCGTTGCCGTTGAACACGTTCCGCAGTTCCCATACGTCATTTCGAGCGATTCATTGCGAATTGTGAATTGTGGAATGAAAAAAGTCTCGAGTCTTACAATTGAAGGTCTTCCATTGTCAATCCGACTGTTGGCTCTGCTAATCATTAGTCGAGGTCAAATCAGCGCCAGTTGCAGATGGCTATAGGCACAGTTAATACTAATAGATAAGCTCAAGAGTATGCCAGGAAGAGTATCAGAATAGGCTTCAACTTCTAAGAAGTGCACGAAAAATCTTCAACAAAATGAGCCGAAGTGAACTCAAATGAACTGAAATTGTACAAACAATAACAACTACTGTTGTAATTTGTAAAAGCCTAGACTAGATTAGATCTAACTTACACTCAATCTACAAAGTTTCGAATCCCCAACTAGTTCTGACTACGAACTAAACAACTTTATATAGCTTAACTAGTACATAAACTCCGGAGAATGCAAAAATGAGTATCTAAATAAAGAAAAGATTCTCTAAACTATTCAAAAATGAACTGAAATGAACTCCAATGAACCATTCATAGCAGATATTGCTCTATGTACAAATCTAGCTCAGATTAAACCGTTAAATATATAAAGCTCTTACAGTTACATCTTAAGTTTCATTCTAACAACAAAGTGAGGAACTGGATTCACTCATATACATATATAAGTGGTTCCAACTGTGAACCTCTGACCTTGAGTATTAGAGGTTAATCGTGATAGATATTTAAAGCATATCTGTCTTTCTGTCTATCTCTCTCTCTCTTTCTCTCTCTCTCTCTTTTCTCTCTCTCTCTCTCTCTCTCTCTCTCTCTCTCTTTATCTTAAATTCATAATATTACTATATATAACTACCAAAAAGCTAGTTCCACCTGTGAACGAATCATAATTACTAATGATAGTAAAAATTAGAACTAAATGCAAATAAAACTAGTTCCGACTCGTAGTCAATTACAGTGAATAATGATGGCTTCATAAAACTAAAGACCTCTAGGATATATCTCTGTTTCTCTCTGTCAATATATCAGATTAACAATTTAAGCTAGTTCCGGCTGTGAACCTATCACGAATAATGAATGCAGAATTACCAAATCGTGTTAGATCTTTAAAGTCTTTCTCTGTGCTACTTAAGTATCACAAAGTTTCAATATAATATAATAACAAAACAAAATAAAAACTAGTTCGAGCTGTGAACCAAACATAATTAGGGATGATTGCTCAATAAAGTTGTAGTAGAACCAAATCTTGGTAGATCTATGAGGTATTTCCCCTCTCACTCTCACTCTCTCCCTCCCCCTCTGTCTTCCTCTATTACTCTTTTTGAGGCCAATTAGGGATAAGCCGCAAGCTATAATCCATTAGCTTTTCCCCACTTTCGATGCGACCTTCGAGCTTTCCTCGACTCGCCGCTATTCGACTTGCCCACTTGGGCGTAACTAAACAATTAGCTCGGCCAGTTATGTGTGTATGTATATGTGTATGCATCTGTGTGCTGTCTATGTGGCTATGCCCAATTGATGCTCTCGTTCGGC